TTTTTTGGTGCATAAGGACTGGTAAGTATTGAAAATGTCCTTTTAAAATTTCATTCTTGGAATTTCGCTATATTTGTTTTTGAAAACTTATATGTTAAGGACTTATATAAACTCGACAACATCCTCTAGTTTCGTCCTTCTACCTTTATTAGCTAAAAAAAAATTACCTATTCGTCCTTGTGAATCTAAAACATTTTATTTACATAAATTCTAAAGAAATTTTCTCTTTCATTTGGTACCCATATTTTTATTCTACATTGTATTGAATTTTTTAAATAATTTTCGGAATTAATCATATCTTTGAAATTACAAAGTCTTTTAAAATAAATCCTGACGCCAAAAAGAAAAAAAAACCGTCACTTTAAATAAAAAAGTAGGTTTCACACCCATTTATTTATGATTTACTTTATGGTAGGAGAGCTTCTCATGCAATATAGAAGCAATTTTTTCGATTTACATAAGTTGTTGAAAAGTAATGAATATCTAAATCCCGGGATCCCGGGATTGTGATAACGACATCCCGAGAATCCCGGGATCATAAAAAGCGAACAAATTAACATTCCTAGTATGAATGTTTGTTTGTATTAATGACTATTCCAATAATTGCATACAAAAATTGTAAATGAAAGTGTGCAAAGTTCGCTGATAAAAAAAATGGCATATCTTTAAAATTATTCATACACCGATACTAGGCGTGCTATGGTTTCCTTAATTTGAAGCACACCTACTCGCCCGTCTTCGATTAGCCGGCCTATTGGAAGATATTCGAATGGAGCTTCCAAAAACCACGGCGTTGACTCAAATGGTCAAATTACCTCTTGAGGCTTGACAGGGCACTATTTGGCTGGAATCCATGTTGTAAAAAGCAAATTTCCTTTTCCTCAAACCACTGCAAGTCCAGAGTCAACCTACGTTTTCACCCCTTCTATTTCATTGCAATAAATGCCATATAATTCGTCAACCAGATTGCAGAAATGATAAGCGTAAATATATATTTATTACTAAAACTCATAAAAAATATGTACCAGCTAAACTTGCACCAGTAGTCAACCATGAAGTCAATCGATAGATAAAGCTATCAGTTCAAAAAAAAAAGAAAACATTGCATTGATTAAGTCAAAAAAAAAAATTGGTGAGTGTACAAAAGCGATCGATAATTTTTCATTCATTTCTTATTTGTAATACATATTTTTATATAAAAACGCGATGCGAATCATGCCTAACAGTATTATTCCCTTTTGGTTAAACTAAACAACACAGCTGCTGAAAATATGCTCACCGTAAGTTTAAGTTATATAATTAATTAAAGTAACGCTAAATGTTGTACTACAATTGTCCACTTCTTCCTCTTCGTCCTTTCTAGTTTGAGGAAATTGTTGAGAAAGCCCGTAGCTTCACCCAGAAGCCCACTCAGGAAGAGTTCTTGGAGTTCTACGGCTACTACAAGCAAGCCACTGTTGGCGACTGCAATACCGATGAGCCAGAGGATCCCATACGGAAAGCGTTGTGGAACTCGTGGAAGGAAAAGGCTGGTATGCCCAGCGATGAGGCGAAGGCGCACTACATTGAAGTGTACAAGAAGTATGCGCCAAAATACCAATAAATGGTGATGGTCAGATTTTTAATTTTTTTTGTGTAATTCTTACGTAATTTATTTATTACAATGCTTACTGCTTAAACTAATGTATGTGTTATAATAAGATATCATGTGTTTAGTAATGAAAAAACTAATGAAAATATAAGGACGAAAAACAAATTTAAGCTTGGGCTACTATTGAAGATTTGCTTATGCTTCAAAATCTGCTCTCGAATGGTGATGAACGATTTTTCCTTCATAAGCTATAGCCATAGAAGGCTTTGGAATGGCTCTAATAGTAGCAAACGGTGACATATGTATGTAGATGAGATAGAGCAAAAAAGTCTTCCCGCTCCGTACATAACCTGAACTATTGCAAACTATGTCAACATTCTCAATCGCACTTTTGAACTCGGGTTCGGACTCGGTTTCCCAGTTAGCCATACCATAGAGTGGTGTCTTTGTCAGTTATAATTTTAATTCAAGGTCATGCCAATAAAAAAAAATAAAAGTATTTGCTACGAACCATGTATCGTTTCAACATTTCTTTCTTACACATTCCTCCATCTGTTTCCAGTTTCAAGGAGCAGAAGCTCGGCCATGCACTTATCAAAATGTGTGAAGCGCCAATGTTTTTTTTTTTTTACTCCTTATCAATATAATTTTTATTGGCTTATGCATTTCTTTCAAAATCTTCAAATATTTGCAGGCATATTTTATAAATATTTATAATCAAAATGCAATAAAGTTCTTTGCAAAAAAAAATTTAATTTATGGACGTTCACACCCGCAAATCACCTGCAAGATTACGCGAAGCCAAGTACTACTTGCTCTTATCGATATTTTCAATCATTGCATATCAGCAAGGTAAATTTCTTTAAGAAAGCGAAACCCCTAGATATTATTTTTTTTAAGATTAACCAAAATTATCTACGTTCATCAGAAATTTGCAAAAAATTTGCCAAATGGTAAACCACAGCTGCAAAGTTTTGGTAATTATAGATCATGGGCAACAGCCAGAAATCGCCGATAAAAAGCAACTCGAGCTTCCGTGTCTGAACGCAGACTTTAGGTAACTACCTTTTCATATGGCCAGACCCCGACATTGAAAAATAGAATTACTAATTTTCACTTTTTTTGGTTTTTATTCACATTTCTTAACACAACTTTAACTCAACCCCAGAAGGTCACAGCCTATGTGAAAACTGTCGTCGTCTTTCCTGGGCTAAAGGCACAAAAGTAGCTAAATAAACACACATTACGGAAAAATTAATTTGTGGAAAACATGGACGTATATACTATATTTATGCATATGTAAGTTTCTTTGGAGTCAAAATGAAATTGATGCATTCAAAAAAAAAAAAAACATTTGCATAAAACCTGATAATTTTGTGGCAAACCCTAAGCACGGAGATTCGATCGGAGACCCCCGAATCTCAGGGTGAAAAATCAAATCTGGCAACCCTATGTACAGTCAAGTTAGTGTTGAAAATTGGCAATTTTCCGAATTTTAGCATGATAGCCAATTCTTTGTTAATACTGCGCGACTGGTCACTAATATGTATGTTAAATTTGATTAGCGAGACTCGGAAAGTGGTAGCTAAACCAATGACTTATTTCTATTTCGGAATAATCATGTGGTCAAGGTTTGTCAACGTCGAAAGAAACCGTTGATCGGTCAAAACTAAAATTGAATGGTTTGAACACACACAAAAGGGTATACTGCGATAACAAAAGATGGTTCTTTCATTGTTCGTTTTGCAAAATATTTGGAGCTACCCTCGTACAAGCATAATATTTTAGCTTAATGCTTCTAAATGATTCCGCCTAAATGTAGGCAAAAATATACACTTCGTATTTTATGGCTATAGAACACTCATGGATACGATTTTGACGCCTACTAACTGCTACGTAAACTATTAATAGCTATTTATTTAAGAAATTAAGAACTTATTGGGCCGCCGGGACGAATTAGGCCAAATAAAATTAGGCTTAGTTTCTGAAATCGCTAACTTAACCACAAAGATGGCTACAAAATGGTGTTTGTAAATGTAGAGCATAAAATTGTGAGAATCTTATTCAGTGGCGGCAATGTTAAGGCGACCCTATATGGTCAATCAGCTTGATCAATATCTGCAGTCAATGGATTGAATCAAGCAATATTGACCATCTATGCTTCAGTCAAGCCTTCAAGGTGTTTAATAGAAAGTTTGAAAAACTAATGTGGTTGACGAGTGTGCTGGACCGACCGTCTTGGCATTGCACCAAACATTACCGCTCCCTCAGTGTAATGGAAAGTTTCTGAGTTATAGGAATCGTTTCACGCATGTTTGTATCCTTTTTCTCTATTTTGAACCGTACCAATAACGATACAAAAATGTAAACGCTTTCACCACATAAGCGCTTTCACATTTTATGTTCTTGGCCGTAATTCTTCGAGAACCATTCGTCGTCGCGGCAGTAACTGTCAATTCTCAACGCTATGCCGCACAATGACAAATATCCGGAAAAAATTCTCGCCGCGGCGCTAGAATAACCGTATGAGTGATTTTTTTTTTAATTTTTCTTTGCATTTTTTTATTTTCATTATCCTGGTTACATTTTTATCATAAATTTACTTGTACAACCAGATGCTAAATCCGAGAGTCGTGTCGAATGTAAGTCGTTTTTCGAGAGTCAAATCGTATCGAAAATTTCATGCCATTGCCTAAAATTTCCACTCGACTAGTGTATTAAAATGGAAAAACTTGGCAGCACTGCATAGTTTTCAACCATTCGATGACATAATCGACAAAAATATCAATAGCAAAATCGGTAAAAATATTGAAAACAAAATCGGAAAAATTTCGATACCAAAGTCGGTAAAAATATCGAAAACAAAATCGGAAAAATTTCGATACCAAAGTCGGTAAAAATATCGATAACAAAATCAATAAAATATCGATAACAAAATCGATTATTATATCGATAACAAAATCAAACAAATATCGATAACAAAATCAATAACATATCGATAAGAAAATCGATGAAAATATCGATAACAAATTCGATAAAAATATCGATAAATTATCGATAAATATGTTCATAAATATACCAATAACAGTATCGAAAAATATGTTCATAAATATATCATTAAAATTTCAATTCGATAATGGGCAGGATTACGAATTCATAACGAAGGGAAAATACATTGGATAACGAAGGTTCCGTTTCGTTATGAATTCGTAATCCTGCCCATTATCGAATTGAAATTTTAATGAGAGAGAGTGATTGTCTTATATTTCCCTTCGAAAATGAGCTGGATTTCACTTCCTCTCTTGTTACTATGGTTTTCATTCTTTTTTTGAACCCATCTAGAAGGTATTTCCAATACACTATGAACCTTGGAAAACTAAGGTTGGTTATGAGTTCGTGCTCAGTTCGATATGCTTATTGGATATCGAAGGTCATTTTCGAACGTTCGCCAAAATGTTTATAGGGTGGGTACCAAGTACTGAGTATTTTTTGTATTGTATACGTGTGTGCAAGTATTTGATGGGTAGATATCGAATACAAATTGCAAGTATTTACTTGTTTACTAAATTTGTGAATATCAACTGAAAATAAGTCTGCGTTATATATGTATTATGAAAAACGACTTACGACGTGGACGACTGTATTTTGCTGGAGTTATAACTAAAAGAGTGCATAAAAGTGAAGAGAAAAAAAGTATTAGCGAATTAGAGGAGGATGTGAAGCCAGTCTATGAATCAAAAACAAGAAAACGATTAGATTTCCCATTAGTTAACGTCTCCTGTTTAAGCACTTCCCAGTAACACTATTTCAAAATTGGAGGATATGAAAGGGCATCTTTCAGCTTGGTCTAAGTTCACTTTGTGTTGTTACGTCGTCGACAGTTTTCCAATGCAGGAACTACAATTTCCCAAAATAATCGCCTTTCTCCACCTTATGGACCGTTATATTGTTAACGGTCATTGAACTCAAATTTTTCATTCGAGTACTTTTGAGTACAAGTAGAATCGAGTATACTTTGAGTATCATCGAATGAAATTTTCGTTTTTTATCTTTGGATACCTGAAAATTACCTGAAAAGGCACACGTAGAGAACATTTTATTGATATTGCTTTCAACGTATTTATAATGGCATAGTCCAAACTTTATGTACTTTCATGAGGAGAGAATATATACCCTAGATAAGACTATAGGTACATAAATATATATGAAATATATATGAACAATTTTGCGCACAAGCTTTCAATTTGCAATCCTTCTATTTACATATAAATATTGCTTAAAAATAATGTTGATTATCAATTGCCTCATCAATTTCAAAATATACACATGCGTACATAAGTATGTATTTTTATAACGATTGCACTCAACTACCTGTGTGTTTTTTTTTTTGAATTTTTTGAACTCTTTTAATATTTCAGTGTATGCAGTAGTGATAATCGCAAAACAATAAACTCCAGCAAGTGCATAAGATTAGGAGATTAAACGAAAATATCAGCATACAATCATACATACATATGTACATATAGGCCTATGGACAACACATGGGCATGCATGTCTACATACATACATACATACATACATACATATGGACACTTGTCCAAGTGCAACATTTATTACCACTTTATACGTGCCGGCGGAACACACGTACACGTAATCCGTAATCCTCAAAGTGTACACGTCGGCAAGCGTATCGAAAGCTCACATCAACGGTGTTTAATTGCTACATATGTAAGTACAAATTCACATACGCGCTCCAATACTAGGGTGCCACAATTGGCGCAATCGAATAAGTTGTTGTGCGAAATGAGCTTTCCCCTTGTGCGCCAAGCATTGGAGCTTTTTTGGCCAGCTGATCGACACAATGAACTTTGTTAAATTCAACGCTGACTTGCGATTTGAATTCAGACCGCAATTTGCTATTCCGGTGGAACAACGTTGATCGTGTAAGTTTATAATAAAAAAATAATAGCGACATACGTTACAGGTTTTGATATAAAAGCAAGCGGTGTTTG